CTCCCTCCACTCAGCAACAGCTGCGTAGGTGGTATTTTCTCTCTATCCTCAGAATTGATAAGCCGGCCCGGGGTCGCTCTGTTCACCAGTTTTCCCTTATACTGATGGAAATAAACCTGGAACCTACAACCTGGCCTTCTCCATTCTTCGTGGAGTTACAGAATCAAAGGCCTGTGGTTTCTATTCTTTGCCCCCCCCAAAAAAATTCTCAAAAGAAAGTCAATCGTCCAGAAGAAAAAACAATGAAACAACCGAAGCACCTGCGCCCAGGGTAGGTGAGGCACACCCTGTCCGCAGCTCAGTTTGTGCCCGCCTACCCTCCCGAGAACCAGATTGGGACAGTGCAGGGACCGCATCCACAGGGAGGCAGCAGGACGTCAACAGGACGCCGAGACCTTCTGGACTCCCTCTCTGGAAACGTCCAAGGGTTCAGCACCGTGCAGTAAATAAGACATAAAGCATTCATAAGCAGCAGTCCCTCCACACTCGCGCTCCCAAAGCGAACTCTAATCCACTTAGCAGCCACGCTAACGGCGGCAGAGAGATCCGGGCCTCCTCTTGGGAAGCGGCTTTTAAGCCTTGCGCTACAGCTTTGTGCTGCCTTGGAACCCAGGCTCAGAGACTGCTGGCACGAACCCCGACGAGAGACATGGGATAAACCTCCCATCGGAGTTTTTCTCCTAAGAAAACGTCGCCTCACTAGTTGATAGAAGTTGGCAAAAACAAGGGGGAAACGCCAGTCTCCAGCATGACTGCTATGGCTCAGACACAGCCCGGGGCCCCCCGGGGGTGTCCTAGCATCACCATTCCTCAAGCAAACTCTGGGTGCACCTGTTTCATAACCAACCCCTGCAGCTCACTGGACGGGGCCAGTGGCCAGGGTGGGAGACAGAGGAGTGATTACTTCTTGCTGCAAATTATGTATTCCTGACCTTCGTCCTCACCACTGGGAAATTAAAATCAGAGAAGAACCTGGGGACAAGGAGGAATAGTTACGAGCTGTAATGAGATGGAGCTACTTTGTGATTAAATCAAACATGCTCCCGACTTGCTAAATGAGTTCATATCCATGCTGACACTGCCCTTCCACTCCGCCTAGGAGAGATCGGCACCCCCAGCTGAGTCCGCGTCCGTTTGAAACTCACCATCAGTGTCACAGGCACCTGAGCTCTGAACAACCCAAACCTAGGACACCCAGGCCGGCCGGAGCATTTTCCACCTCAATAAAGCCCAAAGCCACAGTACCTGCGCATTTCTTCTCCTGCAAGATTTCCCGTTTGGGCAGAGGTCTGATGACTTGGGCTGACCCGGCGCCTTGTGGGAGTCTCACTGTCAGGGCATCTTAAATGCCTTCTCAAAGACTCGTGCTACAGGTGAGCAACTGATGAGGGTACTCAGTGGGAACAGGTGAACGCCACATTCTTCCCTTTTATAAGGAAACAAAAAGGACCAGAAAGTACTCACCTGGGCAGGTGCCCCAGCACACGTGATCACAGAAGCAGCAGAGACAAGGGTGACAAAATAAGGATTCCCCTCCCCCTCCCGCCAAGCTCTTTCCTGCCGTGGCTCTGCTGTCATTCAGGTGACACGCAGTGGAGACGCCCCCTATCTGTAGCAAAAGGGAAGACAGCATCGGTCTCAGGCGTTTCAGTGGCAACACTTGGCAGCAACCGCACCTGGAGCAAAGAAGGTCTCAATTCTTTAGGGAAATGGCCATGACTCCCGGACACAAGTGCCTGCAGAGAAACCAACTTCTCCTAGCAGGGGTGGGCACCCTTTCTTCTGCCAGGGACCCTTAGGGTATTGATTACACCGTTGGTGTTATCAACATCAAACATAGCCTGCTATACGTGCATTGGCTGCATTGTGGTTGCATGGGCAGGGCCAGAACAAACAATGGCCTGCGGGCTGTGAACTTTCTCCATCTTTTCCATCATGCGTAAATCTACTCTACAGAATTTACAGACTGCTGTGACAAGGGACTGAAAGTTCAATAGGTTATTTTGCTTGGTTGTTTTAAAGCAAGGCCTGTTCTTCATAAAATTAAATGTTAGTTTTTTTTAAAAAAAATTTATTTTTCTGAAAGTCAGAGTTACAGAGAGAGAGAGAGAGAGAGAGAGAGAGAGAGAGAGAGAGGTCTATCCATCTGATGGTTCACCCCCTAACTGGTTGCAACGGCTGGAGCTGTGCCGATCCGGAAACAGGAGCTTCTTCCAGGTCTCCCACGTGGGTGCAGGGGTCCAAGCACTTGGGCCATCTTCTATTGCTTTCCCAGGCCAGAGCAGAGAGCTGGATTGGAAATGGAGCAGCCAGGTCTCGAACCAGCACCCATATGGGATGCCGACACTGCAGCCCAGGATGTTAACCCGCTGCTCCACAGCGCCGGCCCCTTAAATGCTAGTTTTTAACTGGCCCATTTCTAGCTTCCGTACCTCTGCTTGCTTGATAATGGCCAAGGCCACTGGACTGTGGTTTCTCCTGTCTACTCCCAGCCGAGGACACAGGATAGCACAGGTGGCGTCAAGGTTACAAAAAGCCTGGCTAATTAGCCAACTGCTTCTCGCTTCTGTGTGCCTGCTTTCTGCTTGCACAAGCTCACATGCATAATCAAATGTCTGATAAAAGGTAGGTTCTGCCTTTACAAAGCCCCCAGCACTGCAGCTCGGGGCTGTCTTCCCTGGACTGCTCCGTGAGAGGGCAGTCGCCAGCTGGCTAATAAAGAACTCCTAATTTGACTTCAAAAGTCTCGCTGTGTTTTTCATCTGTGCGCCCCACAACACTGCATGGATGCTTTTGACTTTTTTTTTTTTTTTTTTTTTTGACAGGCAGAGTGGACAGTGAGAGAGAGAGAGACAGCGAGAAAGGTCTTCCTTTTGCCGTTGGTTCACCCTCCAATGGCCGCCGCGGCTGGCGCACCACGCTGATCCGAAGGCAGGAGCCAGGTGCTTCTCCTGGTCTCCCATGGGGTGCAGGGCCCAAGCACTTGGGCCATCCTCCACTGCACAGCCAGGCCACAGCAGAGAGCTGGCCTGGAAGAGGGGCAACCGGGACAGAATCCGGCCCCCCGACCGGGACTAGAACCCGGTGTGCCGGCGCTGCTAGGTGGAGGATTAGCCTAGTGAGCCGCGGCGCCGGCCTCCTTTGACTTTTTTTATGATTTATTTATTTATTTGCAAGGCAGAGTCACAGAGAGGGAGAGGTCTTCCATCTGCTGGTTCAGTCCCCAAATGGCTGCAACTGCTGAAGCTGGGCCCATCTGAAGCCAGCATCCTGGAGCTTCTTCTGGGTCTCCCACACGGGTGCAGGGGCCCAAGCACTTGGGCCATGTTCTGCTTCTTTCCCAGGCCATAGCAGAGAGCTGGATTGGAAGTGGAGCAGCCAGGACTTGAACCAGCGCCCACATGGGATGCTGGCACTGCAGGTGGCGGCTTTACCCGCTGCACCACAGCGCCGCCCGATGCCTTTGAGTTTAAAAGCTTTCCAGGATCCATCAACTGTCAAAAGAGAAACTTGACCCCCAACGCTCTGAAGGTACAAAACCAGACCTGAATGAAAATGACTGTTACTTCAAAAAGAGGTGCCAGTCACCCACGTGGACAATTTCAACCACGACGAACGCGGTGCAGCCCAGTGCTTGGAACACCTTTGCTTAAACGCAGCAGTAAATTTAAGTCCTGCAGGGACATTCCAAGCAACCACACTGCGGAAAACCACCTTTTTAAGCAGCCAAAAATCAAAACTTAAAGATCTACAGGTTGGGGTGAGGTGGAAAAGGGGAGTTTCACGACCACGACCATGAGCTGAACTAACACCTGCAAACTGCATTCTGGCCTCCGGGACCCCCCGCTGATCTGTTTACTCTTGGGAGGCACGTCCAGGGGCTGTGGGTCACATCTCACCTAAATGGAAAAGTCCAGGCACACCCAGCCCGGGCAGCCAAGGGCTCTTCCTGAACCCCAAACTCAGAGTAAGGAAAGGCTCTCCAGTACCGGGGCGCGGGGCCCCCGCGGCTGAAGACGGCCGCAAAAACTCCCACGCAGCGTGGGAGGCCCCACCGTGCACCTGCCTTGCAGGTGCAAGGGTGCAAGGCGGGCCCGGGACGGGTTCGAATCCCGACGCTGCCCATTCTGGCCGTGAGCCCTGGGCCCAGCCTCTGCTGCTTCGTGCAGCAGACCCTCGCCCCCACCCCACTCCCGGTCTAAGCGGGGCCCGCCCCGTCTCCAAAGAGGCAGGTGTAAAAAAGAAACCAGAAACTGGCGCAAAGGACAACGCACAATCCGGGGAGGGGCGGCCGCGGCTGCTCCGTTGGCCCTTCGCTTCCCCGGCCCAGGGCTACGGCCAGAGTGCGCGGGCGAGGGCGCCGGCAACGAGCCCGGACTGATTCCTGACA